TATATATATATATATATATATATATATATATATATATATATATACAAGTAATATTCTACAGACTAAGCAGAATGTACTTAATGTATTTCTGAATATATATCTATATATACACATATGCATAGGTTCATGGAAAACAATTATTGAATAGAGGCCATAAATTTGAAGTTATATGGGAGACTTCAGAGGGAGGAAAGGGAAGGAGAAAATTAGGTAGTATATTACAATCTTAAAAGAGAAAGAAATATTTATAAAAACTTAAGAAACAGACTAATAAAGAAAGAAGTACTTACAGTTTTGGTTCAGTAAAGGAGAGAAGACTTAGATTCTCCACTTTTCTGTAACAGGGAAAATCGCTGAAGAAAACCTTAGTGCCAGCCAGTGTTACAGCTGGGGAATTACTGGGTCCTTTAATGTCAGTTATGTTACCAGAGGTCCTGGGAAGGAAGGTACCAACTTCTCCACACATTTCAAAAGAATTAATGAATCCCAGATGTCTGAGAAATACAACACATTTCTGTCAAACAGGAGAAACTGAGAAATACATCAACACTTCAAGGAAAAAAATTAACATTTTTTCAATTTTACTTTTAAATACTCTCAAAGTGTCCATAGCACCACATACACTCCTGTCAAAGTCCTTCTCCAGTACAGAGAAAAGTCCAAGTTGACCCAGGGATACATTCATTCTCATAATTAGTGATTAATAATAATAATAATGTATTAACTTGAATAATACCATTGCAGCTAATATACATTATGTATATTAATCTGTATGTATTAATGCATTTATTACATGTTAACATAACACTATATATTAATATATTATATATTAATATATGTATTCATACACATATTACATACGTATATAATCTACATGATCCAAATGTAAATTAATATGATAAAATACCAATCACTATAGCTGGCAGAATAATTCTAAAAGATATTCAAAGGACAATGAATGGTACATTCTAATTCTGATTGACCCTAATCCTCTTCTGAAAGTTAATATCAGTCTTTATAAAATGAAGTTAATGGCAGAATTTATTCCAAAAGCTTACTCTTAAGATTAGCTAAAAAAAGGAAAAACGGGGTAGACATTGGAAGCAGGAGATGATAGGGAACAGGACTGGAGCCTACCACAGATGGCCTCTACTGATCGAGGTATCAAAGCAGAGGTTGAGACTCATAGCCAAACTTTGGGCAGAGTACACGGAATCTTATGAAAGACGGTGAGGACAGAAAGATCTAAAGGGGACAGGAGCTCCATGAAGAGACCAAAGTTCCATAAAAACTGAGCCTCAGGACCGTGAAGAAAATGATACCCCAACTAAGGACAATGCATGGAGAGGACCTAAAATTCCACCTCAGATGTAGCCCATAGACTCAGTCTCCAAGCGGGGTTCCTAATAAAAGGAGCAGAGGCTTTCTCTGGCATGAACTCAGTGACAGGCTCTCTGATCACCTACCCCTTGGGGGGTGCAGCCTTGCCAGGACATGGGGGAAGACAATGCAACCCAGTCCTGATGAGAGGTGATAGGCTAGGTTCAAATAGAAGGGGAGGTCCTCCTCTATTAGTAGACTAGGAGAGGAGCATAGGGGAGGGAGCAGGAAGGAGGGTAGGTTTAGGAGGAGATGAGGGAGAAGGCTACACCCAGGATACAAATTTAATAAATTGTAATAAATGATAATAATAATTATTATTATTTTAAAAAGAGCTAAAAATTATTAACTAAAATAATAACTAGATCATTTCCTAACTCAGGGGCAAGTTAAAATTAAAGGAGATTATATTTAAATTCTGCAAATTGATAGAATGAATTTTTATCATAGGATTAGAAAATAATTATACATAAGAAACCAAATGTACCATGTCAAGGAGAATGTAGACAAAATTATACACAGAGACCAAAAAGAGTACTGAAAATCAGAGCTCTCAACATTTGCTATAATTTGGGTTTACTTGTTTCCTAAAATCACGATTAGTTTGTGTTTACATTTAAGTCTTATAATTCATTACTGATAACTTCATTACTGATAGCTTCATGCATTTCAAAGGGTTCATTAGGCTTGACTGAGCTACATATAATAGTTTGGGTAACTAATCAACATTAAATGCAAGCACGATTTTAGACCATTATTTGTACAATGAGATGAGTGATTTTCATTGTTACAGTTTAAGAAAAAAAAATAATATGAACATAACAAGGTCCAGGTCAGCTCTAAGGTCCTGCTCAGGTGAGGGGCAGGGCCTGCTCTCCCTGAGCTGGAGCAGGTGAGGGGAAGGATAGCTCTCCTGCTTTCATCATTACAGGGCAAGGGCTCCCACCTGAAATGCCTCCAGAGGGAAGGCAACTATAGTTTTTGCTGTTGTTATTTTGTTTTTAAATAAGCTCATCTTATTGTTTCCATGATGAACAGTTTGTTTTGTTAGGATAAGAATGAACACACAAACACACACACACACAAAGCCTCTCATCTCCTCAAGCATTCATTAACCATTGGAATACATTTTCATTTAAGTTTAACACACAACCTCATATGAAATGGTTGACAATGTACATCAAGGTAAACTGACTTTTGCAATTTGTTATCACCATCCTATGCTAATGTCACAGGAGAAAGTTTTCTTGGTGAGCAAGTACTGGAATTGTAGAGATGTACAAAAGTTCTTTAAATGCTAGGCCAGGCGAGCTTGCAAGTGAATCCTAAAAGTTACATATTCAGTCACAGCCTATATCTCAGTTTAGAGAACATGCAAGTAGTGAAATATGAATTAAGAACACTAAAATCTTAAAATCCTGCCCTCATTAACCTAAACCAAATCATGAAAAGATTTTGAAATAAAAGTACTGCTTTGTTACCACGTGATATCCACATTTATTCATAAGCATATGTTGAATAAAATGTTTCTTTCTGTCATATATTTAAGTAATTATGATTTGATTATAAACAAATCATGAGGAAAATATCAACCAGTTTGGACACATAGGGTACCTACTGCTCTTGATTCATAGCATTCTGCTCTGCATGCTTGTAAAGAAATAGCTGTTCTTTAAAGTATAACTTATTAACTTGGATCTGTCACCTTACAATCAAGAAAAGTTTTATATGAAACACTGTTAAAAGCATTATAATTATAGAAAATAGAAATCAATTTACTTTAATTTTCAGAATTAATCACAATCTTAGTGTTTGATCATGACTAGTGTTACTTTTTCTGAATATAATGAACACATTCAAGTACTGACCTAAAAGAAATAATTGAGAACTGATTCGCTTGTATTTGCATTTCTTTTCGCTTTTATGATCTGAGATAGAGACTGACACTTACTTGATTCAGAGGACTTTGCCTCTTATCTCTTTGAGTCAAAGGCAATCAGACATTGCCTGTAAGTTTGAATGGATTATTTCTGAAAATAAATTACAAAACTCATTGCTTTAGCAAATAAGCTAATAATGCTACAAACATAGGTATAAACAGAAAGTCAATATCATCATTACTATATCTGTAAGTTATATTAATTGGCAATCAGATGAAGAATAAGAATAAAGAAGAAAAATAGAGATGTGCAAAGTCTCTAATGATGTTGTTAAAGAAACTTTAAAATTTATAAGCAATAATAGAATTGATTAATTTACAAATCCCAATAATAGCAATCAACTTTCTTTATGTTTTCTAGATAATTCAGACTATCAGTGCAATAGATAGAGATGAGTCCATAGAAGATCACCATTTTTACTTTAATCACTCTGTGGAAGATGCAAACAACTCAAGCTTTATGCTAATAGACAATCAAGGTAACTCCTCATCTATAAGGGTGTTTGATGCAGTCAAAGATCTTTTATTCCAGTGAGTTGTGGAAATAATTATTTATTGTTCTTGCAACATAATACTACTGAGAAATAAAACAAAAGAGTAGAGCCAAAATGAAAAATAACTCAAAATCAAGTTGAAAAGACACTGGTTCCATTTTTCCTCACATTTCTTAAAATTATAAAGCACAGTTAAAAATAAACAGAGGACAGACAAGTAATTGCTTTGCCTGGTATATACAAGGCTATGAGTCTGATCTACAGAACCTCAGCCCTATCCTTCATCATAAGATACTGGATATTTAGATACTGTAAAATATTACTATGGTTGTGACATCACAAGTCTTTTGACAATTGACACAGTCAGCTATCAAAATGAAGAACTAATGATCTAAAAACTTTAGTTACAATCAGCTTGTTATTTATGAATATCTAACAAGAGTGATTAGGTTATGTAAACATAATGTTTAAGTCAAAGCTCAAAGACTTATTTTTAAGTTGAAGAAAAAATATTCTGATTTTAGGATTTTATTTGCAAAGGCAGAATTCCTGCAACTTCTGTTTATAGTTGATAAATTTTAAAACTGTACTCTTTTGTTCTTTTATTATCTATCTTTACTAAGATTATCCTGTTATAAAAATATATATTTAAATTTATTTATTTATCTAAAATTTATGAATTAGACACATATTTGGAGCAAAATGAATGTTGTTGTCTTGTTCCTATCAATTTGGTTTTTTAGATACAGGTATTATTTAAGGATATGGGAATGTGTCCTACTTTGCTTTCTGTTGCTAATGATAAAACACTGACTGAAGAAATCTTATGAAAGAAGGGGGAGATAAAAGACCTGGAGGGGACAGGAGCTCTACAAGAAGAGCAACATAACAAAAAAAAATCTGTGTCCAAGGGTCTTTCCTGATATTGATACTCCAAACAAGGACCATGCATGGAGATAACCTAGAACCCCTACACAGATGTAGACCATTGCAGTTCAGTGTCCAAGTGTGTTCCCGAGTACAGGGAAGAGTTGTCTCTGACATGAACTCAGTGGCTGGCTCTTTTTTTAAAAATTTTTTATTAATTACACTTTATTCATTTTGTATCCCACCATAAGCCCCTCCCTCCTCTCCTGCCGATTCCACCCTCCCTCCCCTTTCTGCATGCATGCCATTCCCCAAGTCCACTGATAGGGGAGGTTCTCCTCTTCTTTCTGATCTTAGTCTATCAGTTCTCATCAAAAGTGGCTGCATTGTCCTCTACTGTGGCCTGGTAAGGCTGCTCCCCCCTCAGGGGGAAGTGATCAATGAGCAGGCCAATCAGATTATGTCAGAGGCAGTCCCTCTTCCCCTTACTATGTAACCCACTTGGACACTGAACTATCATGTGCTACACCTGTGCAGGGGTCATCTCCACGAATAGTCCTTGGTTGGAGTGTGATTTTCTGGGAAGTTCCCTGTGTTCAAATTATCTTGTTCTGTTGCACTTTTTGTGGAGTTCCCGTCCCCTCCAGCTCTTACTATTTCCCACTTCTTACATAAAATTCCATTCACTCTCTCTTTGATCACTTCCCTCTGAGGGGGAACAGGCCACAAAGGAAGACAATGCAGCCAAACAGTATGGGACCTGATAAACAAGGGACAGATGGAAGGGGAGGAGGACATCACCAGTCAGTGGACTTGGGGAGGAGCATGGGAGGAGAAGAGGGAGGGGCAGCTTGACTGGGATGGAATGAGGGAAGGGGCTATAGCTGGGATACAAAGTGAAACAACTTGGCAAGGAAAGCTTTTATTTGCCTCACAGTCTATCTTGGTGGAAGCCAGAGCACGAGATTGAAGCAGAAAACACAGATAAGCGTGGCTTAGTGGCATGCTTTTCTCTCTCTTGCTCAGCTTTCTTTCTTAGAAAGCCTGGGGCCATCTGCTTAAGTGTAACATTGGTAACCTGGGCCTTCCTACATCTACTATAAATCATGTAACTATTCCCACAGAACAAGCTAACTAAATTAATCCTTGATTGAGGAATGAAGGAATTTTCTTTTTCTTTTCTCCATTATGTCAACTTGAAAACTAAGATTAGTTATTACAGAAGGCAACTGAATCTTAAAAGAAAAACAAAACAAACACAAATAGAGACTAAAACCTAGAAAGGGAAAACTCAAATACTGAGAGAAGAAAACAAGGCAAATGTTATTCTGAGTATTTGGGATTTAGAAAAAAATTTCAGATAAATGGAATTACTCTTTCATTTTCACTAATACTTTAATTTTTTAATAATAATTATTATTATCTTGATAAATGAACTGAGATGACAAGTGATGAAGGCATGTTTGGAATTTCATATGTAATATATTTCTATATTTCATGTGGAATTTTACATAAAATAAAGAAGTACTGGGTGCAATTCACTCAAATTAAGCTAAAAGCCTAAGCAAAGATTTATTGCTAATATCTTCTAACAATACTGATGGTTGAGTGCAGAAACATTTTTTTTCTGCACACTATGTATATTCCTGTATTTTCCTGGACCTTTTATAACTGATTCAAATAATTAATCAGATTACAGAATCCATATTTAGAAAAAAAATTAAATGGTTTGGGGTTGGATATTTTAATATAAAATTTTATTTTTTATTTATACAGATACTATTATATTTTAACACCGTTGCCCTTAGTGCCTATATTTTACAGATTTGTTTTATATTGTTGAAAAAATGTTGTGAACCTGGGTTTCTGTTTTAGATAACACAGCTGTAATTCTGACTAACAGAACTGGTTTCAGCCTTAAAGAAGAGCCTGTTTTCTACATGATCATCTTGATTGCTGATAATGGAATCCCATCTCTTACAAGCACAAACACCCTCACTATACAAGTCTGTGACTGTGGAGACAGGGGAAGCACAGAGTCTTGCAGTAACAAGGGACTATTTTTAATCCTGGGGTTCAAGAGAGAAGTAATAATTGCCATCCTGCTATGCATTATGGTGATATTTGGTAAGTCACATTGAATGGCACAAAACTTAATTTGCAAAAAACCACTCTAAACATGTGAAGGACGTAAAGATAAAATAAGCTTAGCATATGTTTATTTGCTCCAAACATGTTTAAAACCAAATAGGATTGAAACCCTATTTGAAACCAAATAGGGTTGGTTTTAATAAATGTTGGTTTCATAAATGCTCCAATTAAAATTAAAAAAAAATTATTAGATTTTATTTAAAATTTTAGCACAATAACTGATTATAGAATGACTAGTTATGTATAATAACTTTTTCAGTTTTATTACAATCCATTTATTCAATTTACACTTTATTTGAAAACTGATTGTTCATACTTTGATGATACAATATAATATTTCATTGTTATGATCACTTGAGTTTAATTAGCATAATTATGATAATCATCATTTATCATTTGTATTGACAGCACATGATTATTTTAAGAATTTAAAATATCTAATACTTTATTAGTAATTATAAATAACTTTTTAAGCAACAAGGCTTCAGAACACATTTTTCCTAGCTAACGTTTTACAAAACATAATGCTTTCTATGATCAATCATGTTATAGGATGATTTTCTTCATATTTTATTATTTTATTTTGAGACAGGGGTTCTCTGTGTAGCCTTGGATGTTCTGGATTTCCCACTGGAGAACAGGCTAACTCAAACGCATAGTAATGTGCCTGCCTCTGCCTCCCTGAGAGTTGGAATTAAAGGTGTGCGCCACCATGCATGGCCTTTCTTCATTTTTATAGCTCAATAAAGCAGGTATCAGTCAGGAAAATAAAATGCAAAGAAGTGAGGATGAAAGCTCAGATCAGTATATACCACACATGGTATATACTCACTCATATAGACCTATAAGATATGATAAACATAATGAAATCTATACACCTAAAGAAGATAAAGAAGAAAGCAGACACGGGTAAGATGATCAATTCTCACTTAGAAAGACAAATGGGATGGATATTGGAAGCAGGAGAAAACAAGAAACAGGACAGGAGCCTACCACAGAGGGCCTCTAAAAAAGTCTACCTAGAAGTGTATCAAAGCAGATACTAAGACTCATAACCAAACCTTCGGCAGAGTGCAGGAAATCATATGAAAGAAGGGGAAGTTAGTACAATGTAGAAAGGATAGGAGCTCCACAAGGACCAAATATATCTGGGCACAGAGGGGTCTTTTCTGAGACTGACACTCCACCAAGGACCATGTATGGATATAACCTAGAACCTCTGCTCGGATGTAGCCCGTGGTATCTCAGTAACTAATTGGTTCCCCATAATAAGGGGAACAGGGACTATTTCTGACAGGAACTCAATGTCAGGCTCTTTGACCTCTCCACCCCCCAAGGGAGGAGCAGTCCTGCTAGGCCACAGAGGAGGACTTTGCAGCCAGTCCTGAAGATACCTGATAAAACAGGGTCAGATGAAAGAGGAGGAGGTCCTCCCCAATCAGTGGACTTGGAAAGGGGCAGGGAGGAGATGAGAGAGGGAGGGTGGGAATGGGAGGGAATAAGGGAACGGGATACAGCTGGGTAGAGTATGATGCCAGGCAGTTTATTGCCAGCAAGTTTAAATACAGTATAATTTGGAAGAGATATTTTCTAGTATAATACCATCATTGGTGAACAGGGAAGCATAATTACATTAAAACTCAACTCAGGGTATATGTCATTGTTTTTTCCAAGAAGAGAGGTAATGGAATAGGCTACTCATGTTAGCTTACAGGCCTCAGGAACGATCTGACTTGGTCTCAGTCAAACAGATATTGAAGGCATATGGGTTATTAACCACCCCTGGTCCTGGTTGTGGCAGCTTGGGGGAATTTTCAAGAATTGTAAGTGTCATTTAGATAACTAACCATCTCTGGTCCAGTCCTGATTACAGACGTTTGATATGGCCTGTCTATCAGATAACACAGATGAGCAGGCTATTAATTTACCTCTAATTCCTTCTTTCTTGGATGAAAGAATGCATTTTATGTCCAGTCCTTTAATAAGACAATTCTCTATGCTTAACAGTCCTGATTTTCCTAGAGATCAGTGGGCACAAAGATCTTTGTGCTGTGCTCTCAACAAATAATATTCCACTCTGAACAAACACACACACACACACACACAAACAAACAAACAAACAAAAACCCCTACAGTTATTAGATTCCATAGTCTTTCTATGGTGACTATGGCTACAGTGCACTAAAAGTTTAGGTATCTTCAGCTATACATACACAAACAAACAAAAAAACTCACAGTTATTAGATTCCATAGTCTTTCTAGGGTGAATATGGCTAGAGAGCACGTAAAAGTTTAGATATCCTCAGCTATATTAGTGGCTCAGATGTTTAGAGCTCTGGTACTCTTGCAGAGTTCCAGTTTCCAGCACATGCACGCGTGGCTCATGGCTCTCTGTAACTCTGGCCCCATAGAGATCTGATACTCTCTTCTTGCCTTCTTAGGCACAGACTTGCACAGACATACAAAAAAGGAACAGTCCTCACAAACATAAAGTACAGATAAATAAATCTTTATAACAAGATTTCAGATATTAACATACATGATTCATGTGTAGACATCGAAGTAACATTGTATTATGAAGCTTTATAAGATTTTGAAAAGTCTTGGTATTATATCTTTTAAAATGGTTAGGGGTCTTTCCTGAGACTGCTATTCCAACCAAGGACTATGCATGGAGATAAATTAAGACCCCTGCACAGATGAAGCCCATGGCAGTTCAGTATCCAAGTGGGTTCCATTGTAATAAGGAACAGGGACTGTCTCTGACATGAACTGATTGGCTTGCTCTTTAATTACCTCCCCCTGAGGGGGGAGCAGAATTACCAGGCCACAGAAGAAGACAATGCAGCCACTCCTGATGAGACCTATTTGACTAGGATCAGAAGGAAGGAAAAGAAGACTTCCCCTATCAGTGGACTTGGGGAGGGGCATGCATCCAGCAGGTGGAGGAAGGGAGGGATTGGGACAGGAGGAGGGAGAGAACCACAGGGGGGATACAAAGTGAATGAAGTGTAATTAATAAAGAAAAAAAGAAAGGAAAAAATAACTGTTTGTTAGAATTCAGCTGCAAAAACATGATGTCTTTCAGTTTTCTTCTTTTTCATGGTGAAATCATTGATTCAATCTCTTTTCCATGTTACATATCCTGAAGATTTCTTGTTTCTTCTAAGTATGGTCTTGGTAGGTTCTTTGTTCTAGGAAGTCATTTGTTTTTCCACTTTGTCCAATTCATCAGTGTGCAATTTTTCACCAACATCTCTTACAATACCACATTTTCTGCCTTATCTGATACAATATTCTCCTATTGTTTTTGAGAGTTGTCTCCATTTTTTATAAGACAGATTACCCACTATATATATATATATATATCTTGGCTGTAATTTTAATAAGATCACCTCATATTTATTTCAAAGGATATAATATGAAATACCGAGGAGGTATATAAGACCCAAAGCTAATGAAGGACTAATTATTGTAATTATTGTTTATCCACAAACACAAATTCCAAAACATGTTATATATATATATATATATATATATATATATATATATATATATA